TGTCCCGTGACTCCAGGCCCCATTGTTCCCAGCCTGGCGCGCCCATCACGACCCCCCCCCCCCCCCCCCCCCCTACCCCCCCCCCGCCAGCCTATTTCCCCAACCGCCGTCCTCATCGCCCCCAGCTTTCCTCCTATGGTCCTAGCCGTCCGGGAAACCACCGTCCCCATCATCCCCAGCCCGGCGGCGCCGGCTGTGCCGGACTTTCAATGTCCGTCGTCACAGCCAGCTCGGTTCGATCGGGTGTCCGCGGTTCTCAGCCGTGGTTGGGGACGACGGGGGTTATAGTCCGGCGGAGGGGGGGGGACGAGCCGCGGGGGAGGCCCGGTTCCCGCCTCCGCCTCACCTGGCCGCGGCTCCATCCAGCAGCCCTGCGCGCAGGAGGCCCGTTCTCGGTGGTAAACAGCGCCGCGTTTCCACGGCAACGGCCGCCGCCAGCCGACTTCCGGTCTTGACCGGAACAAGACGCGAGGGAGAGAGAGACCCTCCGCCTCGCCATAGACGACAACCGGGTTTCGTTCCTGCGCGCATGCGGGAGCCTGGGCCGCTCTGGCCCTCGCCCTGAGGGAACTTGGAGGGCAAAGAGAAGAAAAGAGGCGACGTCGGTCTACGAGACTAAATTGGGGGGGGGGGGGGCGGAGTGGAAGTCCCCCCCCGTGGAAAACACCCCCCCTCGCTTCCCAACAGCCCTGCTGGGTAGGCCAGGCTGGGGGAGGGCCTTTCCCGCCCAAGATGCCCATTGGCCTCTATCTCAGCTTGAGTGGGGGGGGGGGGTTTACTTCATGAACTATAAATTATTATAAGTGTATCTATATATCTAGTTATATATTTATCTCTCTAAATATCTATCTAAATATCTATATTATATATCTAAATTATCTAAATTTCTATCTAAATTATCTTAATATCTATTTAAATTATCTTAATATCTATCTAAATTATCTAATATATATTATATATCTATCTAAATTATCTATCTCTATCTATCTATCTATCTATCTATATATATATATATAAATTATCTATCTATCTATATCTATCTAAATTATCTAATATATATTATATATATATCTAAATTATCTATCTATATCTATCTAAATTATCTATATCATCTATCTATCTAAATTATCTATCATCTATCTATATCTATCTAAATTATCTATCATCTATCTAAATTATCTATATCTATCTAAATTATCTATCTAAATTATCTATCATCTATCTAAATTATCTATCTATATCTAAATTATCTATCTATATCTATCTAAATTATCTATCTATATCTATTTAAATTATCTATATATCTATCTAAATTATCATCTAAATTATCATCTATCATCTGTCTATCTATCTGAATTATCTATCATCTATCTATCTATCCCCCTACGCGTCCATCTGTCTATCCCTCCCACCTTTATTATGAGAAGTAGCCCAAGGTGGCGAACAGCATCTAAGCCTCCTCCCTCCTCCTCTTTTCCCCACCACAACCATCAAGTTGTGGGAAGTGGGACCCTCCCCGCATCTCTTGCCCACGGTGGTGTTTCAAGCACAGGGAGAGTTCAAGGGTCCCTCAGGGGTCTCCGCAGCTTCCTGGAGTGGAGAGGTTGGAGGGCTGAGCTCTTTGGGAGGAGGAGGGGGGGCTGTGCACAAGGGCCCCCACGTAGCTTAGAGACTCTAAGGGGAGGGAAAGGGGAGGGAGGGAGAAGGCTTCCACTTTCCCTTCCAGGTCCAAAGCAAGGAAGAATCAGCCCCTTCCCTTGCCTGGCCTTGGGGAGCCAGTCCCATTGGGGGACCCTGACTGACCCCTAGGGGCACCCGAACCCAGTAGTCCAAACCCAGCCCCCTCCACCTAATGTTGCAGGAGGGGGGGGATCTACTGGCTTCTACGCGGTGTTTGCATCCCTCCAAAGCCCTTTGGTGGACCTTCTGGAAAGGGGGCAAGCCCCAAACTGCAGAGTTATGTCCTCAGCAAGCTGTGAAAGGAAAGGCTTTTAGGTTTGCATGACGTAGTTACACCAATAAAAGAGAGCGTTTGTGGCTCAGGGTTCAAATGAGGGGATCTCCGGGCTTGGTGGTTTTCTTGCAGACGTTTCATGATCCAACTAGGTGGTGACAGAGAGCAAACCCTTCCAGCACTGATGGTGTTATCTAATTGGGCAATGAAACATCTGGAAGAAAAGAACCGAGCTCAGGGAGCACCAAGGACCCCCACAGTCCTCTCCCCCCTCTCCCCCTCCTCTAGCACTGTCGATGTCACCTATTTTGGGTAACGAAACATCTGGAAGAAAAGAACCGAGCTCAGAGAGCACCAAGGACCCCCTGTAGCCCTCCTGGCCTCTCAGCATCCGCAGCACCCCCATCCAGTCAACGGGGGGGGGGGGTGTTTTAGTTGAAGCTTTGCTAACTGTGTTAGCTGAGCTGAATATGACCGTCTCCTGATTACTGCTTTGGATCTGTCCAGAGGTCTGCAGCGATCAAACCAATGTGGAACCAAGAGCTGCTCCAGAATCCACTGGCAACTTGGGAGGGTTTTCTTTGGGAAGGGGGGGGGGGAGGAACAGATAAAATTCATCCCCAAAAGACAAAACAGTCCCATAATGCAAGAAATGGCACTTTAGCACAATAGTAGCACCAAGATCGGCTCTTCCGCCCACATTTTGCCAGGGTGCCAGGAGAGAAAAAAAGAACAGAACTGGCAGATGTGTAGAAGAAGTTGAACCGAAGAGGGAGGATGGGAGGAATGGAGTCGCTTGAGCCATTGAGAGGAAGATTCCTACCCCCCCCCCCTCAACCTCCCTCCAAATAAACCCTTTGGGAAGGAAAAAAATTTTTTTTTTCTTTTGGAAAAAAGGCCGCTTGGCTAAAATCCTTGCATTTCAAAGTCAGCGGAGGATGATAAACAGGAAGGGAGGCAAAATCTGATTTTTGGCAGAAGGCTGAGAGAACGGTGCAGCGCCAAGGAATCGGCTGGCCCGGTTTTTAAAAAAATTAAAATCAAAGTGAGCCGGTTGCCATGGCCACCCTCTCTCGCCTCTCTCTCCCCCCCCTCCACCTGCTTCATCTGTCAAGATTTTTCTAGAAATGAATTGCCATGGCAGTGGAGAGAAGATCTAAAAATAATGCCACCCTTTCATCTACCAAAGCATCTCTCTCTTTCTCTCTCTCTGTGTGCACGTCTGACTTTATATAACAGCAGAATTAAAAGGACGATACGTGAGCACAGGCGGATATGTTTTCGTTGCGTAGAAATATTCAGCCTGTCCTCCCAAGTTGCTAGTCCTGGCTGTGTGCTCCCCAAAGGCCCCATGTCCTGGGAGTGGAAATCCACCCTCCACTTCCACCCCAGTGCCCCCCCCCCAGGCCAGCTCCCATTTCTGCAAGCCCCAGGGAGGCAGATCTTAGTGGCATTTGAAGCAGGGGATCCTTTGGGGCCAAGCCCCAGCCATCTCAAGCGCAGAGCCGGGGGGGGGGGGCTTGAAATGTGGGTCTTACATCCCTCTCCCCTCCCCCATTTCACTCTTTTCCAAGCCCCAGACTCATTTTCCTTCCCTGGCGCTGGGAATAAACGGGGCCCTGGCCCTGGCTTCTGCAATACCCTGGCTTCCCATTTAATTTCTTTAAGATTAAGCGACGGGAAGGCTGAGCCCGGGTGAGCAGGCAGTGACTGGCGGTGCCACTCTGTGGTTGGGCTCAGGCACGGTTGAGACGCTGTCATTTTTCTCGGAAGGGGGGCAGCCTTTGCGAGACACAGAAGCCGATTTCCGTCCTGCAAGGAAAGGCTCCGTCCTAATGAGCCTCGGAAGCAAAACGAGGGACTTTTTCATCCATCATCGTTAAATGCAACCCTTCCCCCCCCTGGTCTCTTCCAGCACGGCTGGGGATGATGGGACTTAGTGCGCCCCCAAACAGAGCAAAACAGAACAAAGGAAGGGACCTTGGAGGTCCTCTAGTCCAGTGTTTCTCAACCTTAGCAACTTGAAGATGTCCGGACTTCAACTCCCAGAATTCCCCAGCCAGCGAATGCTGGCTGGGGAATTCTGGGAGTTGAAGTCC